CAAGAATTGTCAAACTACTTTATAAACTTATAGACCGTAGGGACACACTTCCTGTCAGTTCATACATATCCCTCAGCTCACTGGACAATGTGATAATTAAAGGACTCGATGTCTTTGGTTTGCTAAACAATCTTGATAGAAGCAAATCCACAGGACCCGATGAAACGCATTCTAGGTTACTCGAAGAACTAGCTAACGTTGTTGCGAATCCCTAAAATATATGCTTTGATCTATCCGTAACCCAGGGTTGTTTACCAAAAGACTGGAATGACACCATAGTAAGTCCCGTCTTCGAAACAGGTGTGAAACATAAACACGAGAACTACCGACGCGTTAATCTAACTAGCGTGGTTGTTAAAGTTTTAGAAAAGGTTATTCGGAAGGAGCTGTTTAAGTATCTTGATGAAAACCGGATGCTTTCGTAAGCGCAATATGGTTTTAGGATAGGTTGTTCCTGTCTCACTAAGTTATCAATGGTTCGTGAGAGCTGGTGCGCTCTTAAAGTCGTAGCCTATATTGACTCCAGCAAAGCTTTTGACAAAGTTTCTCGCGACTGACTGCTATGTAAGTTAAGAAATGTCGGAGTTTGAAGCAATCTATTATTGTGGATAAAAGACATTCTATTAGGGCGCCAACAAAGAGTAGGGGTGAACCTCATGTTGTCTAGCTGGGAAACTGTGCTTAACTGAGTGTCTCGGGGTACAGTTTTGGGGCCGGTGTTATTCCTCTTATATGTAAATGACCTTCCTCGTCTCCTATCATCATCGGTTTCGCTATATTCTGACAATGCCAAGATAAGGAGGGCGATAAGAAGTAAGAGCGATAACTTAGAACTTAAAAATAACCTGGGGGAACTATCTGAATGGTATCAAACCCGGCATTTGCCGATAAATGCTTCCAAGTGTATTGTGATGCATATTGGTCATCAAGGTACAGATACATACATGATGAATAACATTGAACTACCCGTTTTACACACACACACTGACTTAGGAGTCATCGTTAGCCAAAACTTAAAGACTACTACACATTGCCGTGCAATAACCGCCAAAGGTTTTAGAAACTTATGGTCAATATGTAGGGTCTTTAGTAGTGTTGACGCTGAAACGTTTTTGACTTTGTATACAGTATTCGCGCGTCCTAAACTTGAGTAATGCACAAAAGCGGCTAGCTCCTGCTTAAAAAAGACAGTGAGTTTTCGGAAAATGCTCAGTGAACAACAAATAAGCTGATTCCAGGAAAAGCAAAGCTTTCGTATGATGCTCAACTGGCTAAATCTATTCCCGTTGTTATATATAATAATTAGATGTGACTTGATCACATTTTTCAAATCACTCGATGGTAATTTTGCGAACAATATTTCCTTATTTTTCTTGTCTTCCAAAACATAGAATTTACGAGGACACTGAAAAAGTTCACAAGCCCGAAACAAATTACTTGTCAGCTGAATATGAACTTTCCCTTCGAATCATTAACGAATAGAATTCACTACCTTAATAAGCGATCGAAGTTCAATCCGCCGACTCTTCCAAAGGAAAGTTGGATCAACTTAGAGACCATCACTGCCAGGACTAACTAAGGCCAACAAGCTTCCTGCCCTATGCAATCTGAAATATATGACCACTGCATTCTTTCAGTTGAACGAGACTTATTAGATGCAACGGTATGCATAAAACCATATGTTTACACTCAGGCAAATGCATTAGGGATTATTTGGCTGATACCTACTTGTACATAAATATTGAATATTAGTCTTATTCTGTACTTTGTGACCTTTGTCTGCGGAAAGCTCCGCGGGTCAGTTGTTTCCGCGGTCTGTCAGGTATTTTCGTCTCCTTTGTTTTTTTTAAAAGTAACAACATAAATTTTTTAGAACCTCCAAATATTAAAGCTAGCAATTATATTGCCTATCATTTAAATAAGTTGCCTTCATGAGGTCAGTCAAATGATCTGCAAATCTGTCACCATTCTCGTTCCTTTCTCCTAGTTGTTCCATGTCGTCCCATTATATCTCCATACGTGGTGTTTTCCATTACCGATTTGGCGTTATATCGTTTGAGCTTCATATAAGTTAACTTTGTTAGGTCAGTCAAATGACTCAGTGATGAAGTCTGGTTTCAATAACGTAGCTCAGAGAATCATTCATTTGCTTTCTGGGCAAACTATCCTTCATATACGTGTTTGATCTAATTTAGAGAGCTTATGGGCTCTATAATTCGCGGAGGACCTGAGACTGTAAGTCGGCACCGAAACACTATCACAATTGTCAGCTGGTTTATGTTGTATCATTACAAAGATATATTAAGACAACTTTGCACTGGCTCCTTGTTGTTTCCTGATGGTTTCAGGTCTTCGTAGGAGTCTAATGAAGGATATTCCCACCACTCAACCCTACTGATTCCTGTTAGTTCGACAGTTCTTTGTGAGTGCAAGTATTTTGAAATCTAAATAGGCACGTTTGTCTCAGAGCAGTATGGTTTTGAAAACCAGTAGGCATCCAATCACCAGCGAGTTAGCCAATATACCACGCTCGTTTTCTGTATAAGGGTACTTGGAGTTTACTCATAGTCATCAATCACTTCGTGTTAATTGAAGTTGGATATGGATTATGTTCATTCACCCTCACTGATGTGCTGCTTACTGTAATATCTACTAATTACACAATTAAGTTATTCCACTAACCCATTGACTGAAAAAATGTTTAAAATCGGAAGTGCTTGTCGAGGGAACTGTTTAATAGCTTAATATTGATGTAAACGTTTTGTATAAATTTTGGGTGAGACTAATTTATGGACGACCTTTGAGTGACGCTGACGTGCCCTTGAGAACTTCCGCCTAATAACTAGGACCAAATGAGGGTCATAAACTAGTATGAGGAATTAGAATTATGATTTACAGTTGATGGCTAAGGTTAATAGTTAGATTCAGGGTTTTCATCACGAACTGACATAAGCTAAAATGCCAAAAACGCTTTTTAACCAAATGGATGAATGAATTTCGTGCCAAAATCAGAGATCCGTTTTCTTATATCTCATTGGTTCGTCCATAAATTATAGTCCCGCCAATTTTTTATGTCTTATATCCAAACGTGTAAATTCAAATTGCAATATATTTCGTTTTAGTCTTGTAGTATCAATCTGTTCTCGTAGTCTCCTAAATACAGTTCTCTTTTCTTGCTTAACTTATTGTTACTAGATCCCTGTAACTAAATTCGGTTTTCGTTTCGCCTAAATTGTCCCTTCTGAGTATCGATAATTTTTTGTATTCTAAGGTGGGCTGGATATAATCTCTATACCCCTCGTCATCGCATTGATCTTAGGAGGATCTTTCATAAGTTAATGTAGGGATTTTACGGGACAGCTCAGAAAACTTGATCACTGAGGCCTCCACGTTTTGTAGGTCTTTTGGTGTAGGTATCTTCAGAGCAATTCGTTAATAACATGATTTATTTTTATTCTCTACTTAAATCAGTGACCCGACTAGATTGTTAAATGTAGTTACGACACCCGCCACTGGCACAAAAGCTTATGTTGCCAGTTGATGGATGCACAAAGCAGTCTTTATCTGTTGTCAAGTTGTTGAAGGTTTCCTGACTCTTGTAGTCTTTGCTATGTAATTAGGTTCAGTTGATGCAAACGACTGTGTAATACATTTAGACGTGCTCGTCAAAATGCTAATAAAGCTGAATGTTCTTAGTCAGTCTCGGTAATCGACTGCTTCTAAGTCGAACGCACGAATTTGTACTTTTGTCATCCATCGGGTTTGTTAATTAAGGGAATAACCGTATTGAATTCATACCATGAATTCCGTGTCTCTGAGTAGACAAAGGTGGGGAGGACTTGGATCTTCTATTAAAATAGGTTTGAGCATATTCCTCCAATAATTCTAGATTGAGTTTTTGGGATCGAAATATGTTTGTCTACTTGGTCGGCTATTATACAGATGAGAATTTTCGACTTTGTATTCAAACAAGTTAACTTATCCAATGAATTCTCATCTAGTAAGAGCACTTGATGGTTGTGTTGTAGACAATAAACTATCTGCTTCATCCGAATCCCCGTTAAAAGTAGACCTGACACTGCATCCTTTAAGCCAGGTAGTGCTGTAGCTACAATTTGATGTGCCAATTCTGTTCGTGAGGCCGCTCGACCTTTTACCATGGTGATTAGTTCTCTACATTTATTTTATCTTTATGTGGAACATGATTATCTTCTGCTTAATACTTTTAAAAAATCCAGGTTTGATTTGATCGCGTGATGCAAACCTCACCGTACTCTCCAAATGTTTTCGTCATTATCCCTTTTCTATTTCCTGAATGCATAGCCGTTCACTATCAGAAATTCACTATACTTTTTACTTTTTGTGTATTCTGATCCAATCCGAATCAGGTGTAAACCATATAACTTGGAATATAGCTCACTACATCTATATTATGCACTATTTTAAATGAATAGATACCTGGATATCTTACGTGCAATCGTGCTTTTAATACAATGTAATCTACTTTGATATTTTTGTATTTTTCGTAGCTTGCAACTGCACTGACTACCTAATTGAGCCATTTTAAAACGAACCGCTAGTTATTTTTGATTCTAACCCTTTCGACGCATGCTCCTACACAAGTCACCCCTATTTGTGCTCGTCTTTATTGATCTGGGCTTTTGTTGGAGCAGACCATTAACAGCACCCATAACCTCGTTTTATTCACCGATTAGTCTCATAAGCGACTGGTCGACACTTTTCAGGAGTCATAAAGTATTTTGGACATCATTTTCTATTAATGAAGCTAAGTGACGTTCAAATCTTTATTGAGTTTTAGTTACCGGTGTCTTAAATTCGCTCTTGTAATTGTTTACACTTGCCTTCACCATGGAATGTAAATCATCAATACACTTGTTCGCATTTCTGGATTCTTATGTTGGCCTGTTAAAATTCTGCCGCTGACTTATCGCATTATTTTCTTCACTTCTTTTCAGCAGCAACGACAACGGGATTACTTTCTAAACATAAACTTATTGACGACTGGACATAACAATTCGCTTAGAGTTGCTGGGATCAAGTAAACAAAGGTTAACCTCGCCTGAGGTTTTTATTTATCTACTATGGATTTGAAAACTCATGAAATTCATTCAGGTCATTTTATGGTTAGCATTCTTGAAGATTCTGAGGATGAGACAGAACATTCGAATGATGTATTCACTCAAAACGTCACTACATGCAGCTCCAAAGATAACAGTAATCAGTCAACTATTAAGGATAAAAACAGACTGATTTTTGAGAACTTAGCTTCTCTTTTCAAGTATTTGGAGATCGCTTATAGTGGAAAGCTGACGAGCCCGAAATGGGACAAATTTCGTGGACTAAGATTTGCAATAAAAAATAAAATCCGACTCAACAACATAGTTTGGAGAGAATACCACATGCAATGTAAGTTCCTGTTTATTTAATTATTTTTAGATGTCAAAAAATTAAAGCCAGTTGTTGTTCAATTCCAGACACCTGTATATGAAGATCATTCTAAAACTGAAGTAATTTTATAAAATTCTTAATATTTTTTTTAAAGGCAGTTATATTAGAAGGAAAATATTGGAAAAGGCGCGTAAGTACTTTGTGTAAAGAGTATCGCCTTTGGAGAGCATTTGCCAAAAACAGGATATACAGTTCTCAAAACAGACAAATTATACAATGTGCCAATGAACTACTCGAAGGGTCGGATCTATATCCTTATCAATTTAGTGATCTATCAAAGAATACGTCTTCAAAACTTATGGAGGAAATAATGATGGACATAGATGAGAATCTGGATTTGTTTTTTGATCAACCTATAACATTTCCAAATCGACGAGATTTACCTATCTTGGGAAACGCTGATATAATGCAACCAGGTTTGCAACAACTCCAACCCGATAGAAGTTCATGCGACGACATATCGTGTAATATTTTTCAGTCTATTGACCCCAATTCGACATTTCAATGTAGTTCTTCTGATGCACATTCGTGTGAATATGCATGGTCTAGCTCGTACTACCCATTTAACAAATATATGTGTGAAGCAACATTTTCAAACATAACTACACCTCTTCCAGAGACCAAACAAAATTGTAACCTACCTCTTGTTGAACGTCTTAGCGTAGTAGATTCGTCTTCCCAAATCTGCTCATCATTTTTGTCAGGTAATCGTAAATCTGGTCTTTTGGATTTGGCTACTACCAGTAGTGAAGGGTGTGGACCTTATTTAAATAACAGTGTTAGTGAAACAGATTACCATGGTCTCCATCCTTATCGACCATCGTTTCCTGTGTCTCAGAAGCGCTACTTCCAACATCAACCCAGAGTTGCTGGTCAGCACCAAAGCAGCAACCATTCTGTTAGCATGGAATCAAATTATGGATTAACTACAGGTTCAATACACACAAAAGGTCACGTGGCTGAACCCATAAAATCGTTTGGTTATCGTGTAGAATCGAATAAAGAAAAAAGCAATCATACAAACAAATCTGCTCTTCTAAATGCCTTACTGCGTGGTAGTAGCATTGGTCAAAATTTGAACTCGCCCAGTGATTGCATGGACACTAGTGCATTTCAGGAAACTTCGAAGTGTTCGTCTCCCTTACTTTGTAATGCTCTAAGCAATTCGGGAAACTGCTTTGATAGTTCATCCAACAAACACCTAATCCACCTCAACGATTCATCAAATAAGTCAGTTCAGGTCGAAAAAGGCCCCAATCTTCTTACAAATACAAAAGGGTTATCAGATTCTTACGCTCATCCTAGTTATTCATACAATGATCATTCATCCATTAATTCAATAAATACAGTACAGAATGTTGACATCCCCAGGATTAACTCGTTGAATGTTGCGGATGTAAGTTATTTTAGTTTTTACCAGTTTCTTTAGAAGCTCGTTTTTTCAGTATGGGTAATTTTGGTTATAGTTGGTGTTTGTTTTGTTGTTCACTACGAGATAATTAGTTAACCAAAGAATCGTAAAATGGTTTTGTACCATCGCATTTCAGCTAAGCAAGATCTTAAATTTTTTAAACCTTGAAGTCTATGATGGGTTTGTATTTAGTTCTTAGATCTGAGGTGAACTTTGAGTTATGTTGTTAGGAGTCTGAAATGTTACAGGACCTAACATATTGACTTTCAATTGTTATGCATGTATCTTGTGGACATTTCTGGCTTTTGGCAAACAGCGAGTGCACTGTACGATCAGAAACATTATAGTTGGTTTTTTCTGAGTTTAATACAATTCTTTAATATGTTCAAGGTTTTGAATAATTTATCAATAATTATCTCATGAACAGTGCCGATTGGCTAAAGTGTATACCGGTTCAAGTTTTCTCATTTAGAAAAAGAGATTAAAGGATCAGAACAAGAGTTGGACTAGAAATGTCAGTGCTAGTAGAAAACTAAATATATGGGACATAGTTCAAACTAAGAAATGAAACTGAGGAAATTAAGATTATTGAATAGCAGTGAAACTCAAGCTTTAGACAAAGATTAACAGCGAATGCATCCATGCTACTAAAACCAATCCCGAGTAGTGCAATCTAATTTCGACAGTACGTCAATACAACTTCATGGACCTCAATTGGTAGTTATTCACCTTTTTTACTACTCAAAAACAACAGTTGATTCCATGTGTAGTCAGAGTTTCTTGATTCGAAAGCAATAGTTTTTAGCTAACTTCTGTGCTAGAAAACACAAGGGTATGTTAGTGCGCATAACATATTTTTATTTGCGAAAGTGAGAAGGTAACAAGTATTTAGACAGCTTCAGTGGATGCAAAGGGTTCACATAAAGGGATTGGAAAACCTTGGTTCCAAACAAATGGTGTACACGAACTTCATGTTCCAAAGAGAACGAATGTTATATGGACCTATTTCTGGTCACTACTTACTATAGGATGATATCCTTATTGGCTTGTAGATTAGACTGTTGGGCCAAAGGCTTCAGGAGTGACCCCTTGGGAAAACCACTTGTTTCGGTTTTGGCGCCGAAAAATAACTCAACTACAAACTTATTTTGTATGGTACATAATATTTTTGGTTATCAGGTTTTCTGAGGACAGAACCAAATAAATATATTGGTACTCTTAGATTACTGTCTTTGAGTACATATGGAATGTATCAATCTAAGTTACCTTACTTCACCTTAACACCACTTGAAAGAATTAACAAAATGAAAGATAAAGACATAAAAATAGAAGTAAATCTAACAGTGGTTAAAAATATAGGCAACGACAAATAAGTAAATAAAACTGCAACCCGAAGATTTTCGAGTAATGCTGTCTGGAAATTACTTACTTACTTACTTACTTACTTACTTACGCCTGTTACTCCTCATGAAGGAGCATAGGCCGCTCACCAGCATTCTCCATCCAACTCTGTCCTGGGCGATCCTTTCCAGCTCCTTCCAGTCGTAATTCATCGTTTTCATATCTGCTTCTATTATCCGACGCAATGTGTTCTTAGGCCTTCCTCTTTTTCGCTTCCCTTCAGGATTCCAATTTAGCGCTTGCCTCGTGATGCAGTTTCATGATTTGCGTAATGTATGTCCTATCCATTTCCATAGTCTTTTCCTAATTTCTTCTTCAGCTGGAAGTTGGTTTGTTCTCTCCCACAGAAGGCTATTGCTGATGGTATCCGGCCAATGGATGTTGAGTATCTTGCGAAGACAGCTATTTATAAATACTTGTACCTTCTTGATGGTGGTTGTTGTAGTTCTCCAAGTTTCAGCTCCATACAGTAGAACTGCTTTGACGTTGGTATTGAAGATTCTCACTTTGATATTGGTTGAAAGGTGTTTTGAGTTCCATATGTTCTTTAACTGTAGGAATGCTGTCCTTGCTTTGCCAATCCTTGCCTTTACGTCTGCATCTGAACCTCCTTGTTCATCGATGATGCTTCCTAGGTATGTGAAGGACTCTACATTTTCCAGAGTTTCGCCATCAAGAGTGATTGGTTTGTTGTTTTCCGCTTTGAATTTGAGGACTTTGGTTTTCCCTTTGTGTATGCTGAGGCCTACTGATGCAGAGACTGCTGCTACATTGGCTGTCTTCATCTGCATCTTTTCGTGTGTACGTGATAGGAGGGCTAGGTCATCTGCGAAGTCCAAATCGTCTAATTGATTTTGAGCTGTCCATTGAATTCCGTGTTTACCTTCAGATGTCGAGGTCTTCATAATCCAGTCGACCACCAGAAGAAAGAGGAAGGGAGAGAGTAAACAGCCTTGTCTGACTCCGGTCCTTACTTGGAATGCATCTGTCAGCTGTCCTCCATGCACGACTTTGCACTGTAGTCCGTCGTATGAGTTCCGGATAATGTTGACAATCTTCTCAGGAACTCCGTAGTGTCGAAGAAGTTTCCATAATGTCCTCCTATCTACACTGTCGAATGCTTTTTCATAATCAATGAAGTTGATGTATAGTGATGAGTTCCACTCAACTGATTGTTCGACGATGATCCGTAGTGTCGCAATTTGGTCTGTGCATGATCGATCCTTACGGAATCCAGCTTGTTGATCTCGAAGTTGGGCGTCTACTGCGTCTTTCATCCGGTTCAGCAACACTCTGTTAAAGACCTTCCCTGGTATTGACAGCAGTGTAATGCCTCTGTAGTTTTCACATTTGCTCAGATCTCCTTTCTTTGGAATCTTGACGAGGTGTCCTTCTTTCCAGTCCATCGGCACTTGTTCCTCTTCCCAAATCTTTTTGAATAGAAGGTGAAGCATGTTTGTAGTTACTTCGATGTCTGACTTCAGTGCTTCAGCTGGTATGTTGTCCGGACCCGCTGCTTTCCCGTTCTTGATTTGTCTGACGGCCATTCTGATTTCTTCCTTCGTTGGTGGGTTGACGTCTATGGGAAGATCTGTGTGTGCCGCTTCGATGTCCGGTGGATTCGTTGGAGCCGGCCTATTCAGGAGTTCCTCGAAGTATTCTACCCATCTGTTCCGCTGTTGTTGAATTTCGGTGATTGGCTTGCCTTCTTTGTCTTTGACCGGCCTCTCTGGTTTACTGTATTTCCCTGCTAGTTTCTTTGTTGTATCGTAAAGCTGTTTCATATTTCCTTCTCTAGCAGCTTTTTCTGCCGTCGTTGCTAGTTCTTCCACGTATTTCCTCTTGTCGGCTCTAATGCTTCTCTTCACTTGTTTGTTTGCTTCTATGTATTCAGCTTGTGCTTGGACTTTCTCCGCTCGTGTTCGACTGTTGTTTATTGCTGCCTTCTTGTTCTTCCTTTCTTTGATCTTGTCCAGTGTTTTTGTAGAGATCCACTCCTTATGGTGGTATTTCTTTAGACCCAGAACCTCTTGACACGTTAAAGTTAATGCTTCCTTGATGCCTTTCCAGTTGTCCTCCATACTAGTCTCTTCTTCCTTCCGTAGATCTTGTAAGGCTTGGAACCTGTTGTTGAGAGCTATCTCGAATTCATTGAGTTTGTCAGTATCTCGAAGGAAGGCTGTATTGAACCTTTGTAGTGCTGTTTGTCCACTTGTCCAGTTTTTTGTTAGCTTCAGTTTTAAATTGGCCACAACTAGGTGGTGATCTGAAGCTACGTCAGTGCCTCTCCTGGTTCTTACATCTTCCATTGTCCTTCGGAATTTTTTGTTGATGCAAATATGTTCTATTTGGTTCTCTGTAGTGTGGTCCGGTGAGACCCATGTAGCCTTGTGTATACGCTTGTGTGGAAATATTGTGCCTCCTATGGCCAATTTGTTGAATGCACATAGATTTGCAAATCTTTCTCCATTTTCGTTTCTTTCTCCCAGTCCATGTCGTCCCATAATATCTTCATATCCAGTGTTGTCTATTCCAACTTTGGCATTTATATCTCCCATCAGAATAGTTAGGTCCTTTCTTGGGCATTTCTCTATGATTGACTGCAGCCGCTCGTAGAACTGATCTTTGATGTCGTCGTTGCTATCATTTGTGGGTGCATAACATTGAATAATATTCATTAAGATCCCCTCCTTCTTTGTTTTGAATGATGCTTTGATGATTCTGGATCCGTGAGATTCCCATCCTACAAGTGCATTTCGTGCTACTTTGGACAGCATAAGAGCGACTCCCTGAGTGTGTGGAGCATTGTCCTCTTCGTGACCGGAGTATAGCAGCATCTCTCCCGTAGCTAGCCTTTTCTGTCCAGCTTGGGTCCAGTGGGTTTCGCTGATTCCCAGTACTGCTAAGTTGTATCTCCTCATTTCCATTGCTATTTGACTGGTCTTCCCGGTTTCCCACATTGTTCGAACGTTCCATGTACCTATAAAAATTTTTGCTCTGGTTGTTAGAAGTGGCATCGGCCTCGTGGCTTCCGAAGGAACTCGGCTTTCACCATGAAGCTTCATAATTCTTCTAAATGAAGACCTTCTAACTCCCAGGGCAGAGTTTAAATGGTTTGGATTATTTTTTCGGGTAAGCGTTTTTTTAGCGAGTTAGTTTTCTACGGGATGGGGACGCTAACCCCATGCCCAACCCTCCTCCTTTACCCGGGCTTGGGACCGGCAGTAACCCTATAAGAGCTACAGGCGGAGTTGCTGTCTGGAAATTCTATAAGGAAAAAGAACTAATGCATCTAGACCTTTCATAGCTGATTTTGATTCGTATACTTTATGTCTCTAGTCACCAGATGTAGTAACCTCACTCTAAACTGGAAGTTTCCACTCTCGTACATAGTTATTGTGAATTGGGTTTGGGTTCGGTTTTATGAATTAAAAGCGATTTAAAAATTCTAATACGGAGGGGGATAGACTGGAAGGCTAATACACAATACAATACACAACGACAATCCCCTGTGCAATATATGGTGATGTGTTGTAAGGAAGATTAGTGAAGACCCCAGAAGAATTTAATTACATTCAAGTTTATTCACTTGTATATAGATTTGATGATCATTAATTACAAAAAGTTATTAAAATGAGTAGTCTTCTCTGAAAGCTATATTACAGTTAATTAACCAATTTAATCAGGATTCATTGAAAATAAGGAAAACTGGTTTCATACACGTAAAAACGCATTGAAAGTCAAAGAAAAGAGTTCACTTTAAAGCAGTGTGTGACTTGATCTCTTTCTAAATGTAGTATTTTGGGATTCAACATCCTCAACAACAGCTTAAACCGAAAGTCACTAGACAAACATCATGCCTCAGACTGGGAACTACCATTCTTTTTTAAACTTACTCCTACACTAACCAGCATGGCATACCGTAAATATTGTTTGGGAAAGGTGTTATAACTTGTGGCCTTGTGCCCTATTAATATATGACGTAATGATACCACCAGTTAGAGAACAGTGATTTACCGACAGAACCAATGACTCACAAACCCGTATGAGCAGTCTAGAGTCTTTATCAGTTCTTCTTCCTGCTTAGCCCTACCTGTTAAGTCAACAACACCAAAATCAGCCTCTGAGATATGAATCATGTATATCAAACATACTAAATTTATATTACAAACCAAACAGACCACATCGTACCATAAAATAGAAAACAACATTTGTACAAGATCTTGCCAAAAGTGACTGTGAATGTGGGAGATTGTAATTAATAGACTGGGCATAACTCAAGAGTGGTAAATCGTATAATAATAGTCTATGGGTCAAAATAAAGCTTATAATAAGGGGAACATGAATATGTATAGTTTGGCTACTTAATAATTACACAATAAAAATATATGTATCATAATTATCCGTAGATAGTTCTCAAGAGTTACCATTCATAATTCTCATCGGGATACAACAGGAGGGAGTACACAAATTTTCCAACTACCTTAACCAGTGAATGTCTACAACTTCATCAACTGGTTTACCACATCTGTTGTTCTTCGCTTAAGATGTGCGTTACTTGCTTAGTGATGCCGTCATCTACGAGCAGTACTTCACCCCAGTAATGAAATAATATCAATCCGTGTATTTCCTCAATGGATGACGGAGGGCCCACCAAGGAGAGTTGGAAAACACTGATCCCAAACCAATGGTGCACATATGTTACGGGATCGCTAGGGAATAAATGGTGTATAAACCTATAGTTGGTCACTGACTATCATGATACTGCGTCCCATAACGTTGCTCCACTGCCTTGTGGATTAGACCCCTAGGTCAAAGGCTCGGGGAGTGGCTCCCCAAGAAAACCACCTGTTTCGGTTTGGGCGCTCGAGGAGTATTACAACCCATACACAAATCGAATCATGACTACTTTATGTGACGCATATTTTGATGTTCTTTTAAACCAATGTTTATGTATTTGAACAGATAAATACATAAAATCAACCTTGAAATAATGTTTCATAGCCGTAAATTAGTAAATATTGGACCGACTTTCAGTATATTTACCCTCTATCAGTCAGACAAAAACCTCAGTGACATTGCTCGTGAAGCATGTCAATGAAAACCACGAGAGATTTCACTCACCAGTCTACCATGGCCGACAAGAATTTCAAGATGATGTTTACAGAACAATGTCTTTAAGATAATTAATGGTAGTACATTATTTTGATGATGTAGTATTGTACTATCTAATCAGGTTCTGTTTTAACTATCTAGCAAACCATTCGTTTAGGTAAAACAGTAATTATTTCATTTAACTAAATAGAGTAGGTGCCTAAATAATTTTATTTCTCATTAAGTTTTTTTAAAATGTGATTCTATGCATCAACCAAGTATGGTTTTTGATGTTTTTGACCAAATGACTCAATAGTTTATCGATTTGTTTGTCATAGGACTTTTTTTACTGAATTCTTGTTTTAGAGTATATCAGCTCCAGTGGATAACTATGGGGTGTCTGGTGACTGTTCCGTAACTCAGAACCATGAGCCTGATCTGTCTGTTTTGACACCAACTGTATCTCGAGCAGATGGTTCATCTTTTCTAATCTCTCATAATCTTTTGGTAAAAAATTGCAGGACGGAATCTATTGGCTTCGGTGTTACTGACCTTTTAATGCGAGGTTCCAATAATTACTTCAATAAAACTGAAGTGATTTCTCAACAAAGCTCAGTTGATTCACATAAGTCTCTTGGTCTACCGCTAGAACGAAAAAATTCAAACGTACAAACTTTGGATCCAAACGGTTCTGCCGTACAAAGTACACAGGGAAACCCAAGTTATTTGGTTGATGTCAGCGCTGTTCCTTCTCAGAATTCACAAGACTCCATCCTTATTTTCAAGGGAAATAACGGGCTTTCTACACCAATCCATGGAAGTCTTTCTGTTTCATCGAATACAGGTTTTAATTTCTCTAGTCGTAATTCTGGTCCGTGCACAATCCCTAGTAGTTCACTTTCAGAATCGAATATGTTTGCTCTACCAAGTAATGAACTTAGGAATGCATACACAGAAGATTCTAATTCTGAGCTGGAAACTTTGGTACCTGGAAGTTGGACTGAACCACAGATTTTTCCGCATGCAATCAATATTTCACTAAATGATATGGATCAACTTCCTAAAGCGTCAGTCACAAGTGATAAATGTTTAAACGGTAGGTCTATGGGTAAAAATATTCATTTGACCAAGTTAGAATTCACTTCTGTTCCGTGAAACAAAGCTCAGTTCATGGGACAAATAAATTAAGAAAATCTGCTTGAGATTACTTTTGCCTTTATTCTCATATGTAACTGTTCGGTCTAACCGAAAACGTACAATTTTTATAGGTTAATATATTGAAAATAGTTAGTGACAATACATTGGTGCAACTTACTATGTCATCACTAAACCAATGGTTCTGACTGTCACAGTTAATAGTCTTATAGATGATACCTATGAATATTACATAATACTGGCCAGTAATCATGATCTATGAGCTGGAAACTTGATTTTTATTTATTTATTTGAACACATAAATATTGGTATAAGAGAGCGCCAATATATATGCGCGACACAAAACAATGAAAATTCGAAGAGAGATAGAAAAAAAGAAAAAAAAGTAAGGGAGACACAACCACTTTTTATGAAGAAAGTAAAAAAAGGTTACAGCAGGATCGCCACTGGCTTCTATTCTGAGCCATATCTGATAACGTCTCTAGCCACTGTGTAGCACCATCTCTCCGACCCCAACCAGGGAGTCGTGAAGGACCAACAGAAGCCAGTCCTTTGCAGCTTTCTTTCATACTACGACACCATGTCATGCACTGACCACCTCTCCGCTTCTTCCAACCAGTCCCAGAGTCGGCAAATAATGCACGACGTGGAATTCTCTGGGACGACATTCGTAGAACGTGTCCAAGCCACCGAAGTCGGTGTTTCAAGGTGGTGACACCAATTGAATTATCATCTCTGTGCCCAAACACACGATGCCGAACCTCTGCATTACTGACATGGTGTTGCCACTGAATGTCAGCAATCCTTCGGAGACAGCGATGATCGGACATAGAGAGTCGTCTAACATCCTCAACTCGGAGAGGCCAGGTTTCACTAGCATAGAGCAAAACTGCCCTCACCGACGCGTTGTAGATCCGACCTTTTACAGCCAGACTAACATCACGAAGGCGCCAAAGGTGGCCCAGATTGGCATAAGCCGCTCTGGCTTTCACTATACTGGGATTGATCTCATCACTCACACCCCCACCAGCACTTATGCAGCTACCCAGATACACGAACTTCTCAACTACGTCTATCTACTCACCATCCAGGGTGAGTACAGGATTGGAATCCTGCCAGTCTTGTAAAAGTACTTTGCACTTCGAAGGTGCAAAGCACATACCATACCTACGGACACTGATTGCCAACTGATTAAGTGCGGATTGCATGCCTTGTGTATTATCGCACAGTAAGACAATATCGTCCGCATACTCAAGGTCGAGAAGTCTTTCTCCAGGCAACAGATCCACACCACCATTACTTACATTCATCAGAGTTGTTTCCAGAATGTCATCGATGGCAAAGTTGAAGAGGAATGGTGAGATTGGGCAACCCTGTCTAACCCCACTGGTCGAATGGAACAATGGAGAGAGGTGGTTGTGTGCCCTCACTCTGCCTAAGGTGTTTTTATATAGGGCTTTTTGGATGTTAATAAACTTCTCAGGCACACCCTTCTTCAATAGACAATCCCAGAGAACAGTCCTGTCCAACGAATCGAAGGCAGCCCTGATGTCAAGAAACACTACGATTGTTGGCCTTTGATAAGTATGGCGATGTTCTAACATTTGGCGGAGGTTGAAGATATGATCAATACATCCTCGACCAGAACGAAACCCAGCCTGCTCCTCGCGAGTCAATCTTTCTCGGGTTTTGAACAACCTACGAAGTATGACGGAAGCCAATAGCTTGGACGCAATCGGAAGTAGACTTATCCCCCGATAGTTGTTGCAGGAACGACGTGAACCCTTTTTAAAGATAGGGACAACTATCGACTCATTCCATGACGTTGGTACACTCTCTAGTTCCCAAACCTTTGAAAACAACGTCGTCAATTCTTTAGTCAAAAAGTCACCACCATCTTTAAAAAGAGTCGGAAGTAAGTCATCTGGGCCAGGTGAATTGTAACGCTTCAAGAGTTGGAGTTCCTTGCGGACTTCCTCCTCGTTTGGTGGATCAGTCGTCACCGACCATGGAGGGCAGGACAGTCTGACCGATGTTGCCGGACCAGCAGGCCAGTTGAACTGCCCTTCGAAAAATTCTACCCATCGTCCAAGACATCGATGGATATTAGTGATTGGCATCCCATCAACCTCGCAGATTGTTTCACTCACACCAGACTTCTTGCTGCCAGTGGCTCGGATGAGCTGGAAGAGCTTCCGGTAATTACCAGATGCAGCTGCTGCTTCCAGCTCATTAGTACGCTCCGACCACCAGGCTTCTCGGTCCTTACGCAAGCTTTGCCCAATTTCCTTACGTAACATCCTTCGTTTATGGTCAAACTCACGGTCACCCGGAGTAGATCGACGGGCTTCAATAAGTTGTAAGGAACCAGAAGAAACCCAGTGCTTATAAGCGGGACGTTTCGCAAACCCACAACTGACTGTTCCCGCCATTTTCATGGCGTCATGCAATTGCAACCAATGCTCATCTATACTTGAGCCGATTATTCATTCATTATATTCACTAGGTAGATATATATCTTTAATAACACAGTCGAATATCGACTGTGATTTCAGTAAGTGTGCCAATATTTTACTAGTATTTTTTTTAAATTCATCAATTGCCCAAACAGTTTATTAGTCATCGCATTTAATCTTTTCATTATACTTTTACTATTTTTATAATTTTTAAGGTAAGAGATTCATTAAATATTCTGAGTATTTCTACCATTAAATCTCAGATTTTATGTATTACACACAACTGGGTTTGTGACACTTTTATTCACTTATCAACCTCGATCATTCTTTCTACGACTTACTGTAAACTGAAGGTAGAATATTTGCATACTACAAAAGTTTGAGCAAGATAGTACTCAGAGTTCAAGCACTGGAATACTTGTTTAATTTGTCTTCTAAATATAAGGTTCAATACTGCGTCCATTCCTAAAACTTTTTTATATTGATAATTGACAATCTAGTTGTTTTTCAAAGAAATGAATTTATGACTTGTAGTAAACATTTACTTGTTTTATTTAAACAAACATTGGTTGTGAAGAGAGGGAGAAAAAGTGAGTATAATAAATAACCGCTGGATTACTAACATGATGTTGCCACTGAATGTCAGCAATCCTTCGGAGACAGAGATAATCAAACACAGAGAGTCGTCTAACATCCTCAACTCAGAGAGGTTAGGTTTCACAAACATATAGCAAAGCTGCTTTTACCGACTCATTATAGATCCGACCTTTTGTAGCCAGAGCAACATCAAGGAGGCGCTAAAGATGGCCCGGATTGGAACGTATTGATTTCATCACTCACCAGTATCAATACATACGCAGCTACCTAGATACTCAGTTAGATACTGTTCACTACCAAGAATGAGTGCAAGTACGGGGTTCTGCCAGTTTTGTAAAAGCACTTTGCACTGAGAAGATGCAAAACACATACCATACCTACGGACACTGATTGCCAACTGATTAGGTGTGGATTAGTTGGCTCGAGTATCATCACACAGTAAGACAATATCATCCAAAGAGTTTCTCCAGGCAACAGATCTACACCACCATTATCTGCATCCATAAGAGCTGTTTCCAGCACGTCATTGATGGCAACATCGAAGAGAAACAGTGAAATTGGGAAACTCTGCCTAACCCTATTGCTTGAATGAAACAATGGAGAGAGATAATTGTATCTCTTCACTCTACCTGAAGTGCTTGTATATAGGGCTTTCAAGATGTTAATAAACTTCTCAGGCAAACCCTTCTTCAATAGAGAATCTCAGAGAACAGTCCTGTCCAACGGATCGAATGCAACCCTGATGTCGCGAAACGCTATTGTTGGTCTATGATAATTGTGACGGTGTTCTAACGTTTGGTGGAGGGTGAAAATATAGTCAGTACATTCTCAACCACAGCGGAAACCAGCTTGCTTCTCGTGAGTCAATCTTTCTCGGGTTTTGAACAATCTACGAAGTATGTGACATGATCTCTTTTTAAAGATAGAGACAACTATCGTCTTAATCGACGATGTTAGAACACCCTTTAATTCTGTCCGTTTGTTAAAAACTCAGTCAGTTCCTTAGCCAGTAGGTCGCCACTCTATTTAAAAAGAGCCGAAGGTAAGTCATCTGGGTCTAGTGATTTGTAGCGCTTCAAGAGTTGGAGTTTCTTGCGGACTTACGCCTTGTTGGATGGGTCAGCTATTACCGGCCATGGAGAAAACGACAGTCTGATCATATGAGCTGTTCCTCGTAAAACCGTACCCATCGTCCAAGACGACGGTAGATGTTGTTGATTGGCATCCCATCAGCTTCACAGATTGTTTTACTAACACCAGACTTCTTGCTTCCACTGTATCGCATGGGTTGAAAGAGATTTCGGCAGTTACCAGATGCAGCTGCTGCTTTCAACTTGTTAGCACGCTGAGATTACCAGAATTCCTGGTCCTCACGCGAATTTTGCGTGATTTCATTGCGTAATAATCTTTATTTATGGCCAAACTCGTGGTTACTCGGAGTAGACTGATGTGCTTCAACCAGTTGTAAGAAGCCTGTAGAAACCAAGTGCTTATAAGCGGAACGTTTCACCAAGCTGCAAGTGATTTTACTCTCCATTTTCTTGGCTTTCTTCAATTTCGGTCAGTCCTCACTTATACTTTTCGAAGGGTTGATATTTAGCTTTGAACCTAGCTCTGCTTAATATTCAGTCACAACAGAAGCTGCATCCAATTTTCTGACGTTTTCTATTTAGTGTTTGTTTTTAAGGCACTCAAATGTTGTATTCTGTCTTTTTATCTTCAATTGATTTAAATATCTTGCACTTAAATAATTTAAGCAACTCATACAAAATTCAATTTTATTTTGCTGAATAGCAAAGCTTTTAATTATTTGTCCCATTTTGGATTCATATACAACAACTAATATGATGTTATTATCATTTTCCTAGTATCTAAGATTATCGAAAGTAATCCATCGATGCTTGGACGTTCCAGTTCAGCTGGGAATTTATTCTCACTTCAACATAATCAAATTCCTAGTTGTTCGATACAGGGTTCAGCAACTACTACATCGAGTTTTGGAAGTACAGAGATTTTATCTCCAATGTTTTCTAACCATAAAGGATTTCTGTATGCTACTTCACCATCGTGTTCTCCACCTTCGGTTTCAGAACAAAATGATCAACAAGCTAAACATATTCTAGGTAATTCCTCTGAAGAACGACGACGTCAATCCATGCAGTCTGGTTTACAAACTTTACGACAACTGTTAAAATTACACTCCAATTTAGATAATCTTGGTGGTAGTAACCGTCTGACAGCTCGCAGACATCTTAGCAATCTAGAAATGCCTTCCATATCTGGGACTTATTCATTTGGGGATACAGATATGCCTAGTGAAATGCTTAGCGTTGGATTACGTCCATCAAATGGGTTGGATTTTACATCTGATGAACAAATGATGTCTTCAGGAACCGAAGTTGGTGGTACTGCTCGAGCATCTAAAGCTGCAACATTAAGAAGTGCTGCAGAACTAATAAGAAAATTAAGAGATGAGAGAAATGTATTAGAAACACAATGTACAAATCTTAAGGGCGAAGTAAAAGCTTTGAAAAGTGCAATTAAGTAAGCGTATTTTCAGTCAAATTTATGCACATAATTTTGAATTTGACTTCACTACATATTATACTGTTCGTATGCATTTCAGTCTCAACATCCTCATTGTATGTTCAACCTTGCCTCGTTACTTACTTTAAGCCTTGAACTCTAATTTATCCATATATTAGTTGTTACGTTTAACCTAATTTGTAGCCCGAACTAGTGATCAACCCAACTTTGCTTACATTCATATTGATTTACATTTTCTTCTCACTACATTTTATGTTGATATTGTAATTGCTAACCAATCTAAAATAACACAAATAGTATTTATCCATTTATCTGTAAGTTGTGTAGTGCTAATAGGTCCTAACTGATAATGTTTTGTTTTTGTTTCCTGTTGTGAGTTAATTTCCAGTTTACTGGCCACAAATACATACACACGTCCAGTAAAGGATGTTATATACGTAGGAAACGGTTAAACTATATATATATATATATATATATATATATATATATATATATATATATATATATATATATATATATATATATTCCTCAGTCATGAAACCTCAGGATAACGAACTTAGATAGAATTAACATCAAATCAATATAATTATGGGTGATGACAATCTTTTTGTACAATTTTAATCGTCATCTCGTAATATTCGTCTACAGGGGAATGCATTTTACAACTGTTTTTTGTGTTCACATATCATTGGAGTTCCCTAAATGTTAAATGTTGTAGGAAGTTTATCTTCTCACTAAATCACATGTTATTTATCTGAAACCTCCTTGAAATCTGATATTCTAGTCAGGAATTAACCCTAACGTTCAAGTCTTAACTGATTAGAGAGTGACCTACAAAACTGATTCAATCCAATCGTTTTCTGTCAATAACAAGTTTGCTATAAGTATGCACTTCTCTCCGATAAAAAACCCATTCTTATGTCCGTATTGGTTTTGTCTTTGATCTCAATTCACTCTCGTGAGTAATCGTCTCTTGATCATTTAGTGTCATTGCTTTCGTATATTCGTCAGTATTCTGTTCATTCATTTTAATGATTGAAAACTTGATATAACATGTTATTTCAAATATTTTTCCTCTCTACTGTATAACTACGCTAATACAATAATGTGATAATAAGACTGGTCTGGGTAGTTGAGTTTATAATACTGGTAAATTTGACACTGGAACTGTACACAATACGGAGAATAGATCACATTATATCAGATATATGATTCATGGTTAATAACAAAGAAACATAATAACGCTAGATAATACTTTATTCCACACGATTACTAGCAGTCACTTTTAGTCAGTCCTGAGTAGAAATTAATAAGGTAAAAGAAGTTCATATACTTAATAGTTAGTAAATTGAGTGCCTGTTTATTCAAACTCCATGACCAATTAAATTTACTTTCACCGCTACACATCAAAACTCTATTCACTAACCATAATAATGTTGTTTTATGTATTGACTTGTGCTTTTTCTACAGAGTTGGCATTATTTAAAACATTTTTTATACTGATATAAATGTTTTGGTATTTTAAGAGTATTAATCACTAAAGGTTCCTGCCAAATAGATTAATTAAGACATTATTGTCTAGATTAGTTTAGTTTTAATTTTTTTTTGCTATGAAAAAAAAATTTACTCTTATCATTTAGAAAGTCAACTTAATAGAGGTAATCTTAACCTTTAGAAATTATTAGTTTATATATGTAAATAGATTTCAATATCGTTTGTTAAAACTTTACAAAATTATCATTCTAGTTATGTCATGAATCAAAATTACTTATCTACTGAAATTCCATAAATCGTTTACCGATTTTTTCATGTTATTTACCTAAACGATATTGAACGGAGAATTTTACATAGTTTACTAAACTTATAAATAATGAAATGAAACTATAATGAAAACCAAAAATAAAGAACTAGGAAACAGGTGGAATATTCCGCTCTTTCAGTGAATTGAAGTAGAACTGTATGTATACCACTGAGTTGCCATATTATATTGAACGTGTCTGTTACCTTGTTTTTTCTCTAAATTTATTTTTTCGTACTTATTTTCGACTTAAATAAAATATGTTTTCAGCTTCTTGTGTTCTACTCGCTGATTAGTACATAGCCTACCTAGAAGATAATCTGAATGATGGATATCGTTTTAATGTTTACATCAGGAACTGTATACACGCTATTTTGTTTGATTTTGTAGTCATGTTTTAAAATATGATTTCTCAAGTATCTTTGGACGAATCTAAAATTTGTAGGTTCAAACATTATGTTCTTGTGGTAAACATTGTTATCATTTTAAACAATGAATAAAATATGATCTGTTTATGTTATATTAATTCCATTCCATCAGTTAACTAACGCTTATGAACTATTCACTGAGAAGACTGATGTGGTTGTTTGATGATTAGGAATATTAGTTTATAATTTGTTTGTTAATTTAGTAGGTTTACCGACTAAAATATCGGTTACTTTATTTTAACAATCGGTCATTAAACTCGTTAGTTAAATTTTCTCCTAGTGTCGAACGTCTCTGGTTTATTGACTGTCAGTTTTCATTAGATTTTAAAAGGTTTTAAAACTAATTGTTAGTTACAATCGGGAGTAAAGGCAGTACATTTTCCATTTTCAAGATGTTATCATACTGCAGTACTGTTATAACATCTTATAAGGAAATCTTAATGTCTTCATATGATTAGTGTTCCATTGTTAAATGGGTAAACGTGCCTGAATTCATCTAACGAAGGTAATATAACTTTATAGATATAAATACCAAGATTGAACTTGATAGTTTAAAATAAATTGAGCATTGGGTAGAGAGTTACTAATAAATAACAATTTTAAACTTAATTTAATGTCGGTTATTTCTTTACTCAGAAGTGAACTACATTAGTTAACGAAACGTCAGAAATACAATTTTTATATGACTATTTAATATGACCATTCTGAAACAAATTTAGTCGTTTCAACTTCTCACTTTCAAATGTCACACTATGATACCTATTGAGTAACAGGTATAAGGCTAAGTGCTAAGACGGTAACCGCACTGATCGACTGAATTCCTGATAACGACCATTTCTGTGATGCTTAACTATAGGGTTCAATCAGGTTAAAAAGCAACTGGCGAGGGATATAGATTTAACAGACGTAAAAATTGCTAAATTATACCATAAACTGATTGGCCTCAATAAAATGCGCTTAGCAGATACAGGGATTTTGACGAACGACTTCAACATTCATGCCTAGTGTCTAGACAAAGAAGATATTCGTTCGGATGGCTGATCGGGACATTTTGTTAGCAGGCTGAATAACGGGATCTATTTTCTGTTATATTGTGCAGGCAAAAACCTATTTTCGACCAGCACCAATTACCAATACAGTCGTGAGTTCGCTACCTAGTGTCCTATACCTTAAATCGGAACTCAAGTAGATCATATTACGACCAGCTACTGATAACGTGTATGTGTATGAGTCTGTTGCTCGTTTTGGGAAAACCCTGTAATCAGATTATGTTTTAGATTGCTCCAAACACATTTTGTCTCGGTGGTCAACCAATTCGTCCAAAACAGATTGACGCAAGCATATTGGTTCCATTTACTGTTCGAATCAAACATCAAACCATACTAGATCTAGGGCTAGCTATTACTTCTCTGGAAAGCCTATATTAATATTAGCTGCACTTTTAGTACACCATGAACATGAAGAACAAAATAACGTTTTGCTTTGATAAACACCTGTATAATGTATTATCGCTTGTTGGTATTCCAATGGATTGTGAATACTATCATGTACGTTTCTTAGGTAAACACTTCTCAGTATATGTAAATATTTCGAAACCTGGTGATCAGAATATGCTATCGAGATTTAAGTATCAGTTATATTTTACAATGACTAAAAAGTGTTCCAGTTCATTCTAACTAACCACAACCAACAGGTTTTGATGAGGAGCTCTATGAAGTTAATAAAATGTTGATTCTCTTCCTTCAGAAAATCTTAAGGCATTTCAATCAACAATTTAACTCACTCAATATTTCTAGAACTTTAGCTGAGGTAGGTAGCCTTTGTTTTTAGACTCGTGGATACATGTAGTGATATAAAGATCAAAATGAGCTAGAATTACTAGAAAACCACAAAACATTCTGCTCCGACAGTCTTTATTTGGATTTTCCATGGTTCTCGATGTTATTTTGACAAGAAAACCAACTGAATTGTTTTAAATTGTTTTGTGTTTCCATTTATGAATGCAATGATTGCCATGCTTATCTTTAAAATGTTTCTTACATAATCCGTATGATAATCACCAGGATACAATTCTCTCAAAAGTTGCTTTCAAAATATTGATTTGAGTTATAATTTTCAGACTATGAACAATTGTCCTAGACTGACCCCGAGGAAATGATCTGGTTTCGTTCAGGTCATAGATACGTTAATTGGATCTTCATCTTCCGTCCAATACCCAAACTGTCACTCATACTTTATATTGAATAACAACAACAATAATAATCAGTTATAAATACAGATGTTAGGATGTTTTCTAGGAACGAGCATCTATATTTTCTTTCTATCTTGCTCATCCTAAGTTGGTTGGAATTACTCATCAATATCTTTTTTTAGTTACCCATCTATGATGGAGATTTTCAGGTCCTGATCTTCGATAAGAGTTCTATACATCATGTTAGATGGTTCTGGCCCTGTCACTTGTATTCGTTGATTAAGATTTGACTCAGTATATTCCAACTAATAGCTTAGTTACTTCGGTGTCTGGTATACCATCAGATCTACATATTACAAAACATTTACACACTTAAAGTCAGTTATCTAGTTCTCTATGGTAGTAACTATTACCTTAATGTATTTAATGGTGACGAGAATTATTTACTCAAATGTTTGTTCAATAACATTTCAATTTCCTTTATGTGTTATTTTTTATTGCTATTAGCCTTTTTTGTGAAAAATTGCCCCCCTCCAATTCATCATCTACAAGGTCAATATCAGATCAAAATTTAAATTCTTACTATTCTGAATGGTTTCGTGCATATGTGCTGAAACAAACTGAAGTTAATTGGAAATTTTATATATTTAGTTTAATAATTGGTAGAATTTTCAAGTCTTATTGTAATACAACAATTTCAAGTTCACGTGATCAATTTATCCGATCTGTATATGGTTGGTTAGATGCTAATTGTTCCCTGGTACAACTAAGACCTGGTATGTTCAACTACATAGTATTTGTTAAATCTTTTGTTTTTCAACTTTTCCGCCAATTTTTTGTTTTTCTATGACTTTTTTCCTTAGAACAATATTAAAATACTTTTGAATGCTTATTTCTAGTCCGACTACATCTTTGCTGTTTAACGGTTTAAAGGCTATCTACTTTTAAGATGGTTAACCACTATTGAAACAATAGTTGTTAAAAGAGGAGTGAAAATTTAAGTGTAGTTAATCTTTACGTTTATCATTGCATAGACTGTTACGTATAACTTTTAATGTTTAATTTAAACGTTTTCCCCTATAACACCACACTAATTGACATGAGTATTTGAATCACTGAAACGTTATCAGAGAACATCTCGATGCTGCTGGTAAATAAATACTAGCAGTCACCATATCAAAATTCAAATCATCTTGGTAATCCTCTTTTTCCAATCATATCCAACATGAAATATGTATTCGTTTAGCCAATTTTTAATTTCCCTAAGAATTATATATTTTTATTACTGCAATATACAAGTTACCTCTATAAAGTCAACTAAATGTGTAACGAATTTTTACCATAATTTATTATTATTCTTTTGTGATAGAAAATAAAATTATTTAAGGGAGAAGTGTATGAAGGAATAGTTGAATTAGTTTTAAGCTCACTAGAATAAATTGATGAATATGATAATTCTTATTAGTAGTCAAGAACTAAAAGGAATAAACCGAACGAAGGTATGTAAAAATGTCAATACGTACCCCCAAATGCCCTGGTACGGCCGAGGGTGGGAAGAGTCATTTTTCCCTCTCGAAATGTTCTCACATGGCCACGCGTATACAGCCACTGCCAGGGAAGTTGTACTCACTGCCTTCTCGTGGAGGGGATGTTGTTTACGAAATCGAGAGGATGAAAAGCGAATATCCGGCTCTTTAACCGGGTTGATGGATACAGAGAGTTCACCTAGGAGAGTTGGAAAACTCTGATATCAGACCAATGGTGCACATATGTTACGGGATCGTTAGGGAATAAACGGTTTATAAACCTATAGTTGGTCACCGACTACCATGACGCTGCATCTCATAACGTTGCTCCATTGCTTTCTGGATAAGACCTCTAAGTTAGAGGATCGGGGAGTGGCTCCCTAAGAAAACCGCCTGTTTCGGTTTGGGCACCCGAGCAGTGCTCTAATCCTCACACAAATCAAATGATGAACTGTGGCATATATATATATATATATATATATATATATATATATATATATATATATATATATATATATATATATATATATAATAACTCCCTGTACCAATGTTTATATGTTTCAATAAATAAATACAATACGTGGTAAAAATAACTTTGAATTGAGTACTTCTATAAAAATCGTTTAATAAAATAACACTCTCTGGTTAATGACCAATTTCAAATTGGTTTACAAAAATTTCAATGAAAAGTTATGTGGTCTCTATGGAAAAGCAATCAAGTCAAGAGTAAAATACTTACCTACCTACCAGTGACATGGGATCATGACCACGCTATCCAATAAGTTGACTATAAATAAATATCGCTTATTTCCTATCTTACGCCTGTTACCCCTCATGGAGGAGCACAGACCGCCCATCAGCATTCTCCACCGAACTATATCCTGGACAATACTTCTCATTTGTTTCCAGTTGCTATTCATCCTTCTCATATATGCCTTCAATTCCCGACGCAGTGTGTACTTTGGTCTTCCTCTTTTCATTTTCCATTCAGGATTCCAAGTTTTGTATTGCCTTGTGATGCAGTTTAGTGATTTCTGCAATGTATGTACTATCCACCCCAGCATCCTTTCCTGAATGTTCCATAATGTTCTCCTATTCACGTTGTCAAACTCTTTCTTATAATCAAGGAAGTTGATGTATGATGACAAATTCCGTTCAATTGATTGTTCAACAATGACCCGTAGTCTCGTGGTTCGGTCTGTGCACGGGTGATCCTTATGGAATCCAGCCTGTTGATCTCGAAATCAGACGTCTACGGGGTCTTTCATCCGGTTCAGCAACACTCTGCTGAAAACGTTTTCTGGTACCGACGATGGTGTGATGCCTCTGTAGTTCTCACATTTGCTGAGATCTCGTTTCTTTGTTATCTTGATGTGATGTCCCTCTTTCCAGTCTGTCGATGGCGCTTGTTCCTCCTCCTAAATCCTCTTAAACGGATCGTGAAGCATGATTGCAGCTGCTTCTATGTCTGACTCTAGTTCTTCAGCTAGTATATTGTCAAATATTACCATCTTCTCACTCTAATGGCTATCCTGATTACTTCGATCGTCCTTGGAGTGGAAGCTATAGGTATGTCTGTGTGTGCTGTTTCTATATCCCTTGGGTTTAATGGGGCTGTTTTATTTAAAAGTTCCTCAAAGTGTTCTACCCATCTGTTTCGCTCTCCTTGAATCTCAGTAATCGACTTGCCTTTGATTTTGACTCGGTGTTGTCTATTACTCTTCAACGTTCGGATCTCCCATCAGGATAGTTAGGTCCTTTGCTGAGCACTTCACTATGATCGATTGCTGCCTCTCGTAAAACTGGTCTTTGTCATCGTCGTTGCTATCATTGGTTAGTGCACAACATTGGATAACATTCATTTTGATTCCCTCCTTTTTTTTGAAAGATGCTTTGATGATCCCGAGTCCATGGGATTTTCATTTTGTAAATACTTGTTGGAGTTCTTTGAACAGCACCAGAGCATCCCTTGAGTGTGTGGATCATTTTCCTCTTCGTGACTAGAGTACACCATCATCTTTCGCGAATCCACCCTTTCCTGCCAGCTTGAGTTCAATAGGTTTCACTGATTCCGAGCACTGTCACTGTATCTCCTCATTTCCATTTCTATTTGACTAGTCCGCCCGGTCTCGCGCATTGTCTGAACATTTCATGTACCTATATTGATTGTCGCTCCGGTTGTTAAAAGGGGCATCGGCCTTGAGACTTCCGAAGAATCTCGGCTTCCACCATGAGGCATTAAAATTCTTCTGAATGAAGATCCTTCGACTCAGAGGGCTTTTATTCTGGTAAGTGTTCTTTTAGCAAGGTTGTTTTCCATGAGATGGTGTTTCTGACCCAATACTTAGCTCTCTTCAGTTATTCAGGCTTGGGAACGAGAGTACCCCCAAGCCACCTAATAATTTTAATATTCAATTGTTTCTTAGTTGATATTAGTGTACATAATGTATAGATTATCTTCGAAATAAAAAAATTCACAATGGGTTTATAAATCACTACATCTGTTCTATTGAGACGAATTTAAGCTTATACAACTTTTTTGCTTTAATTCTATTCAGTTTACTAATTTCAGTTATGTTGTCAAGTTAGTAGCTATCGAGTTTCAAACATATACTACTATTTCATTATTCTATAAAAATGTCACTGTATATTTTATGAGACCATATTTATCACTGATCTATGATTAGAGAGCGCTTGGAAGTGGGCGAGAGAGAGAACAAAATCTTATTGATTTATCTCATTAAAAAATAGGATTAGTGAATTTTAGAAAGAATACATTCGTCTTTTACCTTACAGTTGTGTATATTGTGTCGAGATATCGAACAGATCTAAGTTTAAGCAACTATTAAAAACGAGGAAACACTGGGCGGCCATCCGGTTTTAGTACAAAACTCTTCAGCAGTGAACATCCACGAACCTGCAGTTGGGAATCGAATTCAGAGCTTTCTGTATCGTGCGCAAACGCTTAACCTTTAGACTACTAAGCCGGCACCCAGTGTTGTATCAATCTAACTTTAATCAATCCACGATATTGTACATTAGTTTATATCTACTTGATTTATTTTGCCTTTTTCTAAAAGTGTTTATTATTATTGTTATCATTATTGTAAGTAGTTGGCCACATACCATGCACATAAACTAGTCAGATAAATTCACTGTTTACAGAATACAAATAATCTATGTAAATTATGTCGAACTATTGAAAGAACCGTTGGACGCATTTATATAGTGTGTATGTGTGTGTAGAGATTGATACGGTATGTTTGTAAAACTTACATTACCTTTCAACAAAAAACCATCAGTTTTCTAATGTTATTAATAAATGTGGGTAAAGTAACTCATTCATTCTAATCTCTGACTGTTTGTTATTTCTAATTATTTACTTGTCTGTGTAAAACCTTATCGTTTTGCGTATTTTTATCAAGTAAACTATAATAACTGACCACATATTTCACTTTAACAAATCCTGACAGTCTGTTAACTTAAAATTAACAAATTATGATTTCCATTTGAATAAAACGATTATAAATTTGATTTAATTGTCTATCAATTCAAGGTTATCATATTTTTTAAATATTACAGTGAAATAACGACTCGTGTTTTATCCTGTTAGTCGCCGTCCAACATATGGTAAATATGTAACTAGAGGCGCTATCAAGGTATTCGCCCAAGTAATACATATAACAGCTGACACTGGTCAGATGCAGCCTTGAACATGAACAGTTGCAAAATATAAAACCGTAAAATTTAATAGTAATGAGTAAATTATGTAGCAGATCAGAACGCGCTACTGAACTGTACACAAAACTCTTGGTGACAATTGATATTTATTAAAGTATGTACTTTATACCTAGTTGAGAATTGTTTTGAAACATGCGATATATATAGAATCATTTAGGCAAACAAAGGAATCAGTTCACGTCGTTACTTCACTTCAGGTATTCATCATCTTTAAAATTCACTTCTGTATCACCGTTTGACAAATACCTGTTAGTATCAGTACTTTCAAATATTCACTCAAAGTATTAAAAAATACCAAATGTTTTCACAGTGATGGGAATAGCAGATTGTTGGCTTTTGATCGTTGGTGGCTTCGAAACATTGTTCGCGTATCAAGATACGATTCCTGGTGTTATAGAGAGAAGCCGTAATATATATATATATATATATATATATATATATATATATATATATATATATATATATATATATATATATATATATATATATATATATATATATATATAACCTTTAAACCAATTGTTACATGTTTTGCAAAATGAACTTCTGCAACCAACTGTGTTTATCAGACTTAAATTTCACTGAATTGATTGACGGGTTTCATACTGTAGAATTTTACACTTCTGTCCCCTCCTTTACCTCTTCGAAACTTTATTTTTTGTATGACTGTCTATCTTTGTTGGCTCTCAGTTATTATCAGACTTTATGTTTATTAGATAGAAAGTTCATCATTTAGTACAGTTGTTAATTGTAAATTGGATGAATAATACATACTAGTTATCAGTCTGAGAAATGAAACTAATCTATATTTTTCGTGGCTGTTGAGTTGAATAAAGTTGGAGAGCTGTGAAAATTCCTTGATGGTATAAATTTATATTAAAAAAGTATTATTTGTTTACAAGAGCTTTTCCCCGAATTCAAACGAATAGTTTCACGGTAGCTGAGCGCCGAAGTAATGTAGAACATTAAGGAGGAATATTATATTTGTAAAATCTTAGCGATTGAATCTTAAGTAAGTTCAACGTTTCGCTCAGCAATCTAGTTCAAGCTTTTTCAAGGGAATATAATCAAACATCAGAATTATCGAATATAAATTGGTACATGATTCTCTTATTAACTGTGCACTAAATAGATCATCCAATCATGTTAACAATGCTGAAAGCAAGAATTTGTTTTTGCGCATATTAGAAATCTGGTGTGTAAAGAGAAGTGTGTTAAGATAAGAGATGCATGTATGTGTAAGTGGATCGGAGGTGAAAGAAAACGTTTGTGGTCATATATAGCTTCTGTCAGTCTCTTTGTAAAAACCAAAACCTTTTTGAAGGATTCTTGTGCCACTGAAATCAATTGTATGGCCCAACTTTATTGAGTGTAATGTTATCTCTGACTTGTTTTCTAGTTTTTGTTTGAAATTCACTTATTTATTTAATTATTTATACCAGTTTAGGGTCAGAAGTTTTATTAGTTTCTTCACTAAGTGATTTTACGATATTTACCAATCATTACTGTTACACTAATTGTGTGACGCTTTATTATTATTACATATGCTTATCCACTACCTACCTCAACATGTACGCGACGTTTAGGATTAGGTTGGAAGAAAGATAGGGTGATCAAACTAAAACGTTCAGTCAGGTCATGAAGTCCTTGATTATTGGTTAGTGCAGAGTACTTGGTTAGAGTTCATGCAATTATCGTAACAATGGTTGAACACGTTAGGTCCAATGGGTTATAATCGGCTACAATGATGTAGATGCTATCACTTTTTGCCTTCCTTTAGGAATTACATTTTAAAATTACTTTTTATCCATTATTCAATGAACTCACTCTTTTCAAAACATATTCTCTTTTCCTGCTTATACCACTTTTATTCTGGTACTTAATTTGATAATTTTTATCTCACTGTACTGATGTAATAGGACAACTTAGGCCAATGCGTTTAACTAACTGAAGGCCATTTATAGCTAATCTTCCGGAAAGATTTATTTGATCATATTTTGTATACAAATATATTATTATTTCACTTCCTGTCTATTATATCTACATGTTATTTTACAATATATTCTAATCTATTTTTCTTTCCATTCCTAGCTGTAATGCAAGCTTTATGCACTCTTGGGAAAACAACTTCTGTTTTACAAGAACCGAACAAATTACCTGAACAATCTAGATCATTGTCTATCACGAATTTATTTTGAAACTGTATAAAAAAAATGCTGTAATTATAAAATCTATCGGTTTTCCCCCCTTTTTTTATACTATGGATCAATAGATAACTACATTTCACTTGTATTTCAACGCTCCAAACAATCCATTTTAGCGTGCGTTTATTTTGTTCTAGTTATTATTTTCTGTTATTGATAACCATTCATCTTTTTTCTTTTCTTCTAACATAATTATCACTAGTGATTCTTTCATTTTTCTATTTGAATCAATCAGACAAATATGAAAACAAAATCAGATCTGTTTTTTGTTTTTGCCATTCTAGTCAATATGTGATTATTTTCCCTTTCATAACTAAGTATATATATTTTTTCTGTTTCCGTATTACTATTCCGCGTTCTTCTTTTCATTTACTATTAATGGATTAAGATATACACGTATATTTTTCTATAAAAGAGTTGTGGTAAATTGAAATTTAGTTTACCGCCTTATATGTACTGTAGTTCTATTTGGTGATTGAATGACATCGAATACCACCTTACTTACTTACTGTTGGCTAACCAGCTAACTGCCGAAATCTATACCCTCTGTATGTAGAATCTATTTTTGCTTAGAATTATTTTTGTTCTTAGAATATTTTATTTCGTATTTCTGTTCATTATATTTTTTAAGCTAATCATTTTACTTATCTAATTCCAATCCTTTCCAAATGTATCCGTCCATCTTTACACACTAGATATTACACAATAATATTTACATGCCTATATTGTTTTTTTTTTGGTGAGTACACAATTTCATGTTATTGTTTTATTTGTAATTTCTTAATTGATCACGTGACTAACACTTTATATGATGTAATTAACTATGATATGATGTTGTTGTAGGTTCAGCCTGTTTGGACATTGCTTGTCATAAGAAGTCGATTTAAATATCCTTTTTCTTTCTTATCTACATGTGTTTCATTTGTTTCTGGTTCGTCTGACTTTATTTATATTTTTATTGCTTTTTTGTATTTTCTTTTGGCGTATGAACGAACAACTGTTTTTGGACATTGCGATGTGGTTTTACTTCTTTATCTGCTTATCTATCTAGCTATCTATCACTTTCCCTAATCAGATCATTAGTTTTTTTTTATTTTACAGAAAATTATTTTAGTTATTTATTTAAAAACGAAATTCCTCGTCCTAATCCAACCAGATATTACTGTGTCTGTATTTTTTTAAAGTTCCCTTTAACTTACATTACTTTATATTTGTTTCTTGGTACTTTTCTTTTGTCACCTTTCTACTAATATATTTATGATAAAAAAGGAAGTATACTTACACGATTATTTTAGATTATCTAGGCTTGTATAATCTATTTGATGCAATAATTTCGTAATTTTTGTTTCTGTTGTACATCATCTTTTGAAATATAGAATAATAAAAAGAAAAGAACAATACTCGATCTATACACTAGTGTTTGTATTTATACACGGATAATATGCCAGTTGTAGAACTATTTGAAACCATTGAATGCTGAGTTTTTTTTTAAACCATAGTTTAGGATTCTTTAACAATGTACACATGACTCTGCAAGAGTTCGAATGCGGTTTCTTAGGTATTATGATATTAGTAGCTTAATGAGTTCAAATCTTTTGTTTTACTGTTCTAATTTCATTCGGTTCTCTGTATAGTTTTACAAAAATCCAGTGCTACCGATTGTGATAATATAATGAAACCCGTTATTGATCATCGTGAATCAAGTATACCGGAAAGGAAGCGGTTATCTATTGATGATAACGAGAGGTTATTTAAAGAAATGTGTTGCGAAATTCCTGAAGTTTTTCACATGAACGATAAGATTATGTTTCAGTGGGTCAAAACAATATGATTGTCACGAGGCTAGAAGTTTATGGGGTTAGTTTCTATGTGATTAATTATAAAGATTCGCCAAGCTATAACGAAACAATTGTTCAGTTTAATCTTGTTCCCAGTGATTTTCTCAAATTATGTGGATTTATGGTAGAAAATATATCTACAAGTTATTAGCTTGAAAAGAACAGGAACGATATGGATTTTTTAAAATTTAAGTTCTCATCAACCACGTACAACCTGTCATATTTCGATTTCAAATGATATTTGGCATCGAAATGAAATTAGTCAGAATTCGGTATTAATATATCATAGTAGTATAGAATATATCCAAATACAGTTAAAAATGATTGAAATAAATTTTACAAATAAATGTATATTATATGGAAATAAACTTTTGAAAAAACATAACTTCGATAAGTTCGGAATGGCTAGAGCTTATCTGTTTTTCAATCATCTCGAAAAATTTCAAAGGATTTATCTAATGTTTTGGTATACGGGCTATTAGAACACTGAAGAGATGTAAGGTAAACATTTCTGTCATTGTAATTGCTTTGGCAGTTACACATGAATTAATCACTTGTCGCAGTAGTATTATAATTACTAATAAATTGAATTAGGTTGGCAGTTTATTGATTTTTTTTGTGGTCAGTATATAAAAAAATTGACAAAAATATCAATCAGTAATGCTAGATAATTAATTACGCAACTAAATTGTATTAAATATAGACTATTTTCTTTAAAGGTACAATCTTAGAGTGTTTAATTGTCTCTCTTTTTTTGTACATAAAAACATGATAATTCAATAGTCGTGCTCAACACAGTGACCTTTATGTATATATTGAAGTAAATATTCACATTTAGAAGTAGTATTTTCTTTAGTTTTTAAAAAAAAAACAAATTGATCAGAGTATAATTTCAAATTTGCACTGCCTACCAAAATTTTAACAAAGATTAGTTTAATAAAACTACCACATTTAACTTTGTGATTTATTATAATGTTTATTTGTTTTATACCATTTTAATTGCATATATTTCTGTGCTTGAAGTTACTAACTTCTAGTCTGAGCCATGTTGGTAGATGCAGACTACTTGGTTGGGGTCCGCGTGACTATCGTAACCAATGGTTGGAGACTCTTGGTGACATGGCTCAGAATCGATCACAATGGCATAGGTGTATACACTCTCTGTCTTCTCTTAAACTAAGAGATTAAAATCGCTTCATATCTTTCTTTCTACGAACCAATTCTTTCTTCTTGTACTATATCTCTATATGCAATCTTCTCTTATATATTACCACCTTTTACCTAACCACTGTTATGAATCCGATGTTCATCTTGTTGTGTTGATGCGGTATGGCAACCTGGACCGATGCACATATGTGCCTGGTCCTACGTTGTAGATGACGGAATGCATATTTTTCTGTAAATTACTTGAGATAATGTAATTATATGAAATTTTTGAATATTTTTAAAATTCCCTATTGATGACACAGGAACTTTCAATGTAAAAGTAAATGATGGATCTATTCGAGTTGAATGGAAATAGTATGAACTTCTAGCCTACATTAAAGCCATACCTTATGGTTGACACCTAACACAGCTCATATTATCGTGATAATCAGATGAATTGGCTTCCTGGGCGACTGTACAGATGAAATAGAATCTTACTGTAACGATTAGAGAAGTAAAAAGTGGGGCCGCTGCTTTATTGAGCTCTTCATCGCATGCAGATGATTAATCAACGTTGATTATCCTTAACCTTAACTAGGTTTGATAAACTTTAACATTCAGTGATCTTTCATACACATAGTTCCCTTGATCATTTTGAAAAGAGCAAGAACAAAAATTCTAACAGAATAGCATAAATTCATTTTATTACGTTGGTTCTCCGTCAGCTACTTACAACCTGTGTTATTTAAAATCATTATTAAATTACTTACATAAAAGTGTTTAGTCAGAAGTTATGTTGAAGACACATTAATATAGCAAGGAATGTAAATTAATTTACTAGACTGAATATTGCAAATATATATACCTAATGTGAAAGAATATTCTACACCATTAATTGTGACAACAGTTCAAAAGTGGGTTAGAAACAATTGATTACATAATGAATAAACATTGATAGGAATATAGTGAGTAGAGTTCAGTTGAAAGATTATTCATTTGAAAGATAGTTGAAAAAATAATGTTGTAGAATATTCTTTCACATTAGGTATATATTTACAATATTCAGTAAGTAATTTAAACCCATTATGATTTTTAAATATCATAGATTGTATGAAGCTGACGAGAACCTACGAAATACTATGAATTTATGCTATTCTACTAGAATCTTTGTTCTTGCTCTATTCAGTGATATGCTGTGTAACATAAAACTGACTCCACTTAACGCATAGTCTGACTAAGGATCAGTGCTACTATATATGTATTTAAATTATAAATAATATATAAATTGTTATTTAGAATTGTTTTTCTTTAAAAAAGAAATTTATTGTAGTATTTTGTTTTATTGTACTAATGTAAATTGTAATCGTTTTTGAACTAATACAATAATTCTAATGGTATAGAATATTAACAAATAAATAAAGATTAAATTTACATTTGTATTAAATCATATGATTAATATTTAATAAATATAATGTGATTAGTTGGTTAATCTTTAATAATTAAGTTTTGAAAAATGTATTTATTCTATAGTATTTGTGAAATGAAATAGTTTCTAACTGATTAGTTTAGATAGAATTATAAAATGAAAACTGGTTGTGTTTTTTTTTTGGTGTTACTTTGATGATAATGATTTTAAGTTGAGTATCTGTACACACTGATTAATAATAATAATGACAATAATAATGATAAGAGTAATGACAATAATAATGATAATAGTAATAACGTCATACATGAACTCTTAGTGATTTCAATTACATAACTTCATTATTATTTTAAATTTATCATGTGATAAAATGATAAGTCTCATTTCCTAATTGATGATGTAATCACATTATTTATTACTCACATGAATTTCTATGCAAAAATAATTTTATCAAAAAGGGGTTTGTGGAGATTTTTAGAAATTTCACAAATTGAAATCATGAGTCAATTGAAGCTAAAATACCATGGAAAACCTGGAAGTTTTGGACGACCGTTTCGTCCTAGTATTGGACTCCTCGGCAGTGCCCACCCACGATCCCGCACCCTGTGAGATTCGAACCCTGGCGCCTGGCGTGAGACTGATAGGTTCAGGTTTTCCATGGTGATCTAACTTCAATTGACTCATGATTTCAATCTATGAAAAATAATTTTGCTGGAAAAAATAAATAAGCAGACTAAAAATGTTTTTGAGTTTTCATTTTTCAACTGCATTGACGTAAATATTTAGAGTTTTTTGTTAAATACTTAAAAATGAATTAAGGAAATTTTATTATTGATGGTTAAGTGCTCACGTGCAAGACTGATAGGTTCTGGGTTTGAATCTCCCGAGGAGGCGGGATCGTGGATGTGCACTGCTGAGGAGTCCCATACAAGGACGAAACGATCTTCCAGGATTACGATGGTGGTTTAGCTTCAATTGACCCATGATTTCAACTATTGAAATTTCTAAAATATCCACAAAACCCTTTCTGATTAATATTATTTTGAGCTAAAGTATATTCTGACTTGGATTTATTCTTGAATCTTATTAATTTTCAATGCTTGAATTTGTGTAACGATTAAGAAAAGAAGAAATAAATTACAAACTATTCAAATGTTAACATTTTTTATTTTGTATATTTTATTTTTAACTATTTTTTATTAGAGACATTTTCTACTTTCCAGTGTTTCCATGTTTTCTATGGTCGTTTATCTTCAATTAACTCATGATCTTAACTACTGAAATTATTATAATATTCACAAAAACCCCTTTTAACATAGATTTAACTGTTTTAACATTAAAATTTATGTGAACTAAGGGATGGGGGTAGTTAATGAATTTATCAAATTTTTAAGAAAATATCTTGAACTGTTATGTTATATATCAACATGTTCTCTCTAATCTAACCTTTATATATTTTACTAACTTCTACGTTTCGATTTGTTAATAACTGGGAAAACTTTCCTAATTAATATTAAAGTATATTTATTTTATTTCCAACTTTTTTTTGTATACAACGTTTGATTTTAGTTTCTTTATTCAACTGTAATGAAATAGACTGCCATTGAAGTCACTACTTTTATGAACTTGGTGTTCATCTTGTTGTACTAATGAGGTTTGTCAATTTGGACCGACGCATATATGTGCCTGGTGCTACGTTGTAGATGACTGGGACTGCATCAAATCAAATGCTAAATACGTATTGACTCAAGAGTAAAAGTAAATTTAACTGAAAATTAATTGAAAGATTGTTGGGTTGTGATTGTTTGTTATCTATAGAGAAGTTCATTGTCTCGTGTTACTTCACAAATTATTATTCAAGGTTTAAAATGTTCGGATTCAATGAAATGAAGCTCAATGATACAAAAATCGAATAAGCCGTTAAATCCATTTTGTTTTGTTTATTTGAATCTTTCCATTGATGTTTGAAGTGAACGGTACTAGGTTGGAGCCTAGGAGTGGAC